GAAGTGTTATTAAAAATAAAATTGAACACCATTTTGGTCGTAAACAACTCAAGAACTTACTTAAATCCCTACCGCATTTAATCACCTTTATGGATTCTGTCAAATCGTTTTGTAAGTCCAAACGATGTATACTATATGGGTGCATTATTAATGACACCTTATTATGCTTCCTAGTTAAGTTACTCATTGTATAGTGAATGCCGACAGAAATACTTATCCCATTATAAAATGTAGATCACTGGATTCTAGCTACATAATCTAACTAAATCTTGAGTTCCATACCATTAGCGATTATGACAGTTCAAGAGAACGTCATATTTACCCCAAAGTTGTCTGAAGTTCGATGATAAAGTACTTCCATTTTTCTCTTTTTTGCTGTAACAGGCAGATGCCATCTCCTAACGATGAATATAAGAATTCCAATATCCAAACACAACTGAAAGCTAACAGGTGGAAAATTGATCATTAGGTCCAGTTTAGTGACTACATAATGAATTAAAATGGATTTAGTCTAGTGGTACGACTGACAAGTAAGGATCAACGATCAGTGCTGGTAACCTACAAAATCCTTTATTTTACAACTTTGTGTTTAAAATGACATCTGGACAATAAGTTTAGCAAATTGTTGGACTTTAACTGATCAGTAAGCAGTCCTTTCGCAGCTTCTTTTAATGGGCATGTTCGGGAGATAAGGCGATCATTCAGCATCATAATATGCGAGAACATCAAGATGTGAACAAACAGTAACATAAATCATTGGTTACGTTAATTTGTGAGAAATATATCTAGCCTTTATTTACTTCTGTCACCATTATGATGAATTTATTTCCTACATAGAGATTCCCATAGACGAGGGCCACCTAGACACCATCCTGGTGTTTGGTGAACACGCTGGTATATAGTTTTCTCAACAACTACAGTAACAATATGTACTCAAAATGTTTAGGATTTATAACTGTACCTTTTACGACTTCTAGCCAACTTCATATAGAAACAGCGAGTAATCCCCTACATTGAATTTGAATATTAAATACTACGAACTTTGAGCGACTTCACCATTAAGCAATAGTTGCTAACCATTTGTTTCACCCAGTATTTAAAGTAAAGATGTTTGTACAGTTCTTTTGACTAACAACTAAGATCTAAATGAGGGGAAGTGGCCTAATCTACAGATAATCAGAATGGAGAGTACCATGCAGTCCTCTGAAATTCCTAAATTCTGTATAAGGAACACTGAACTACACAAAAAAGCGAGTCGGATAACACTGACAAAGAAACTGTAGAAACTATGAAAAACAACATACCAAGTTACCCCTTATACATTCTTCAATGTAGGAAGACCAATTAGTGGTTAGAAGTCTTTTAACTGAATGCATGAAGACGAAGGTTTAACTGGTTATTTTTCTCTGGAAAACTACTTAGTATATAATCGTACAATTGAACAAGCTTCAACTTATGACACTGACACAGATCATCTCGGGAAAATTTTAGTTTGTTGAATTAATAATTTAACTGTTTTATGGCACTAGCCTACTGTACGTTTGTAATTATGAAAGGATGCAAGTGATATATATACATATGTATAATTTCAGAGGTTTGAGTTGATGGGTTTACTGATAGCCTGCACTCAGACTATACGACTTTCTGAATACAATACCTAACGACCCTCAACTTCGCATATAGATCTTCTAGGGTTACTGTCGATCCCAAGCCCGGGTAAAAGAGAGTTGTGTATAGGGCCAGCAACCCCATCACGTAGAAAACAATCTTGTTAAAAAGCGCTAACCAGAATAAACAATTTAAACTGTACCCTCCAAGTTCAAGGAATAATTATGACACCTCATGATGAAAACTGAGATTCTTCGGAAGTCACGAGATCCATGCTCCTTCTAACAACCACAGCAATAATTAATATAACCATATGGAACATTCGGATAATGTGAAAGACCGAGAGGACCAAGCGAACATCTGAGAAAATGAGGATACAACTCGATGGCGCTCGGAATAAGTGAAACACATTGAACCCAAGCTGGATAGAAAGGATTAGATCCCGGAGAGATGCTACTATACTCTGATCACGAAGAAAATGCTTCGTACAAGAAGGGGGTTGCTCTATTGCTGTTCATAGAAGCACGTAATACACTTATATGATGGAAATCCCATGGATCCAGAATCATCAAAGCATCATTCAAAACAAAGGGAATCACAATGAATGTTATCCAGTGTTATGCACCCACTAATAATAGCAATGACGACGATAAAGATCAGTTTAACGAGAGACTGCAATTGGTCGTAGTGAATTACTTAAGGAATAAAGTGACCACCCTGATGGGAGACTTATACGCAAATTTCTGTAAGGAGAACACCGAATATGAAGACACCATGGGATGACATGGATTGGAAGAAAGGAGCGAGAATGGCTTAAGATTCGCAAACTTACGTGTTTTCAACATGATTATAAGTGGCACAATATCCCTCCACAAACGCATACCCAAAACTAAACGGGTTTCACCGGACCACACTACAGAGAATCAGACCGATCATATTTACATAAGTAAAAAATTCGGGTTAATGGAAGACGTGAGAACCAGAAGAGACGCTGACATAGCTTCAGATCACCACCTGCTGGTTACCAAGATGAAACTGAAGTTAAATAAACAATGGACAGCTAAGAAACAGCAATATGAATGTTCAATACAGCCTCCCTTCAAGATAATGTCAAACTCAACGAATTCAAGATAGCTCTCAACAAAAGGTTCTAAGCCCTACAAAATCTATTCAGAGAAGAAGAAACTACTGTGGAGGACAATTGGAAAGAGATCAAAGAAGCACTAACTTCGACGTGTCAGGAGGTTCTGGGCCGTAAGAAGCATCATCATAAGGAATGGATCTCGATCGAAACCCTGGACAAGATTCAGGAAAGGAAGAACAAGACAGCAATTAACAACAAACGAACAAGAACAGAGAAAGTTAAGGCACACGTCGAATACATAGCAGCAAACAAGAGTGAAGAGGAGCACTGGGGCTGACAAGCAGAAATACGTGGAAGACCTAGCAACGACAGTGGAAAAAGCTGCAACAACTATGTGACACCATGAAGAAACTGGCAAGGAAATATAGTAAACCAGAGAGACCGGTCAGGGACAAAGAAGGAAAATCAATCACTGAGATTCAAGAACAAAGGAACAGATGGGTGGAATATTTCAAGGAACTCTTGAACAGAACAGCCCTACTGAACCCACCGGATATCGGAGCAACACCTACAACCCTCCTATTGATGTCACTCTACCAACGATAGAAATCAGGATGGCCATCAGACAAATGAAGGGTTGGAAAGCAGAACGTGGTAGTATACCAGCCAAAGCACTGAAGTCGGATAGAGAAGCAACTGCAACGATACTCCACATCCTATTCAGGAAGATTTGGGAAGAAGAACAAGTGGCGACAGACTGAAAAGAAGGACACATCATCAATATATTAAAGAAAGATCTGAGCAAATGTGAAAACTATAGAAGTATCACACTACTGTCGGTACCAGGGAAAGTTTCCAACAGTGTTGCTCAACAGGATAAAAACATTCAGTAGACGTCCAGCTTCGAGATCAACAGGTCGGATTTCGTAAGGATAAGTCGTGCACAAACCATCGCGACACTACGGATCATTGTTGAACAATCAATTGGATGGAATTTGTCACTATATATCACTTCCTTAACTATGAGGCATTTGACAGCGTGGGTGAGAGAATATTATGGAACCTTCTTCGACACTATGGTCTACCTAAGACTGTCAACATCATACGAAAGTCATACGACGAACTACACTGCAAAGTCGCACCTGGAGGACAGCTGACAAACGCATCCCAAGTGAGGACCGGTGTCAGACAATGCTACTTATTCTCACCTTTTCTCTTTCTTCTAGTGGTTGACTGGATTATGAAGACCTCCACATCTCAAGGGAAGCATGAAATACAATGGACAGCTCGCATACAACTACACGATTTGGACTTTGTAGATTATTTAGCCCTTCTTTTGCATACATACCAACAGATGCAGATGAAGATATTTAGTGTAGCAGAAGCATCTGCATCAGTAGGCCTCAACATACAAAAGGGGAGAAGCAGGATGCTCAAATATAACACGGAGAACACCAACCCAACCACACTTGGTGGAGAAACTCTGGAAGAGATGGAAACTTTCACGTACCTGGACATCGTCATCGATGAATTAAGAGAATCTGATGCAGATGTAAAGGTAAGGATTGGCAAAGCGAGGGCCGCACTCTTACAACTGAAAAACATATGCAACTGAACCGTCAGTCAACATCAAAGTTAGAACCTTTGATACGGACGTCAAGACAGTTCTACTGTACGGAGCTGAAACTTGGAAAACCTTTACAACCATCATCATGACTGTATTGGTAATTATAAACAGTTGTCTACTCAAGATACTCAATATCTATTGGAGGAATACCATCAACAACAGGATACTGAGAGAGAACAAACCAGCTTCCAGCTGAAGAGGAAATTAGGAAAAGACGTTGGAAGCGGATAGGATATATATTACGGAGATCACCAAACTGCATCACAAAGCAAGCGCTAGCTTGTAATTCTGAAGAGAAATGGAAAAGAGAAAGACCAAAGAACACACTGTGCCGAGAATTGGGATCAGACATCGAAAGAATGAATAACAACTGGAAAGCGTTGATCAGGACAGAGTTGGATGGAGAATTCTAGTGGGCGGCCTATGCTCCTCCATGAGGGGTAACAGGCCTAAATAAGTGCCTAACGGTCCTTAAGAAACCGGTTATATGGACTGAAAATCGAATCAGAGTATGATTTCAACACCTAACTTATGTAAATATTAAGATCGAAAAAACTTATTCGCAAGTATGAATCTAAACATATTCTTTCTTTGGGTACCTCTTACGCTGCAGAACATCATAGAAAAAAGAGATTCCCCAACCTGATTATGTTAGGTCGTTTTTAAAGAGAAGTACGGTTTGGCTTTTAAAGTAAATTTATATAATGAAAAAACATCTTACTTACAAACACTGAGAAAATTTTGTAAAAGTGAACAACAAACGGTGAATGCCAAACAATATTCAACCAACAGAGGCCGAATAAAACAAATGTGAATGGAAATACAACATAATTTAGTCAGATTTACACTTGTCAATTGCACTCAAACGCTCAAGAAGTGGTGGATGGGAATGGTTAAACATTGAATACAACCAATCACAGACAGGAAATGATAAATTGTCTTTTAACAGAATTACCAAGGCAGATTTTAAATACTGTTTATAACCCAATTTAGCAGCAAAGGCATCTGCCTGGAATTCAAATTTCCTAGACAAGACTGTCATTAGAAAGTCCATAACCGTATTATACGGAGAGAAAATGTACTGAAAGATAATAAACAGTCTCAGTATTATTGGTGTATCGTCACTTTTAAAACCAAAGGAAATGAACAAATCATCCACATCCATCAGAAGGCCAAATATTACAAACAACATCAAGAGATTTGCCTTCCCGATGAAAAGATTGTAAATTGTATGCCCTAGTTTCCAATGTCCTAATTCATGAGCGATTACTGACAAAATTTCTTCATCAACTGCACAGCCTCGTTGGTCTGAATCATTTTTAGTTTCCTGCTTCGCTAGATCTTCGTTTTTATTTGGAAATTTGAAACCACGAATAAGCGTATCAAAAATTACTATCCTTTTGTTCTTACCAAAGCCATAGAAATATGCATTACTATGAGCAGAACGTCGTGATCCTTCAACAACTAAGAGCTTTTTCAAAGGAAACTTGATAGACGCAGCTAATGCTTCAATTTTCGTCTTTAAAGATCCATCAGGTAATGGTTCATAACGATCAAACAATGGGGCAATGAACTCTGGATACACAAACATTAGAAACACAGTGACCACAACTGTGAATAAAAAGGCATACAAGTAGAAATAATGTCCACCAACTTTGATTATCCATACTAGGCAAGACATTATTGGAATGCCAATAATCATTGAAATCAAAAGCGACTTGATTTGGTCTTTAATGAAAAAACCAAAAGTTTGCTTGTTAAATCCATGGCGTGCTTCTATTACGAATGTGCTGTAAATCGTCCAAGGGAGTGAGTCGAAAAATACAAATACAGCTACATACAGGAAAAAAATGACAGAACATTTTATTTCGCTATCTTTATTAAAACCCATATCGACACCAAATTTGTGTAGCACATAGGTATTTAAGATAGTGCTGTGGTTAACAACTGTATACCATAACCATGGTATCAATGAGAAGTACAATGTCACTGATAGCTCTATCATATGATATAACCCACTTACTAGACCAAAGCTTGATCGATCAATCGCATAAAGACGTGATTTTTGAAATTTATCATTATCCATAACACTTGCTAGTTCAATAGGCACTGTTCTTGTGTCAACAATTTTTCTTCTTTGACGAATACTCAAGTATGTTTCCCAAATATACATGCACCACAAAAACACAAATACAGCAAGGAATAAAGTCATATTATATCCATACATTACGAATAGCACAACAGGCAAACCCATTTTGCCGTAATTAAATCCACAAAAAGCTGTATGTTTACACTGGCACCAGAAGATCTGTAGTGAGGATAAAAAAGATACATGATTTAATTCGATCGATCGATATCATGCAGAAACAGCAAATACCAAGATGTACGGGAAGTATGAGGTATAGAAACATGGACCGATGCACATGTGTGCTTGGTTCTACGTTGTATTTGACTGACGGGAAGAATGCACGTAATAATCCGAGGTAAAAATAAAAACCTACATATTACTAAGCTGTATGGAATATATATATGGAGAGGTCTCAGCCTTGTGGTGCACATCTCCCTGATTTAAGATTGTTAATTTAAGTCACGGATTTACTTAACTATTATCTTAGCAAGTAAACAGTTTGTCTAAATATATTTCACAAGCTTTAAATTCCTAATCATAGTATTCTTCCACACCTTTAATAATATGACTAAAATAACTTAAATAACAAATCCATAAGTGACCATGACAACATATTTTCAACTCATACACGTACCTACGGCTTGCCTTTAATAGCCGATCAAGAAATCACCTCAATGTTTCATTAGTCATAACTGATTATACTCAAAGCTTTTATCCACCAGTCATCTTGATGATATTACAGGCACCGCAATGGCTAATTTGTCCACCAAGCAATTATCGAATTTTTTAACGAAAGTTGAGTCACTTAGTGGAATTAATTCCAACTGTCTTTCTCCTAATCTTAAGGGAAGGACATAATAATTCCAGTATTTCAATGGTCACAGGAGCGTTAGCTGGTGTTTTAGATATAGTGTGTTGCAAACTAACAAAGACTTTTAAGGTCGTAGTTTACATGGCCGACTTACTTCTGATCTATGATGTTTACCAAAAGGATTCAACTGTTTCTGAACTCGTGGATTTAGGATGCGGTCTATACTGTATAATTGAACTGAATTATTGAGTGTAATATCGCAATGAGTATAACTGTGATAAGAATTCTGCCTTGATCATTAAAATGTAACATGAATAAACTAATAGAAACAAAAAGTCAGATGGAAAATGTCCGACACAAAACGTCAAAAAACATACGTGGTGACGGTAACAATTCAACAACACCCAACAGCCGAAGACGCTGAGCACTTCAAGGTCAAATAATCGCAAAACCATTGGTGCGGCAGCCTCGATAATTCAGAAATTAGGCCGAAAGCGGTTAATTCATAATGGCATCATGTGACTGTTTTTGAATAGTTTTGGGTTGAAGGGTTGGATCTACTACATGCAAGCCACTAAGTATACGGCTGGGTGTTAGCATGTCCTTCGTCGGAACTCATGTTGAACTGATTGTGTCCACTGTACGTAAGTGTAATTTATATATTTTATTGATTCTTGAAAGAATCAATAATTATTGAGACTTTCTATACTTACCAGTAAACGGTTTTAATCACTTAAAGCACCACGACAGATTTTATCCATTTCTTATAGACTGTAAGTTGTGAATTTTTATTCACCCGCGTGCGAATCAATAAAGGACTTTCTTTAAATCTCCGTCAAGTATGACTAATACCTAATCGTTTGATAGCACCAGTCGAATGTTACTGGGTCCTGTCTCAACCATACGGAGGTCAGGTCACTCATCTTCGAACAATCTGCCGATCATCGTCAGAGATAGGAATAGATGACCACCACTTGCAACCATGCATTTATAGCGGTAAATAAATCCCCAAGATAAATAGCTCTGTAAGTTTTCGATACTGGATGCTGGCCGCATTAGTTTTAATGAACTCATCCGACTCAGCAATCAGGGGAGTCTTACAACAGTGGGTTAACCACACCTGGCAACCTTTGGCATTCTTCTCAAGACGGTTGCTAGACCCGGAATGGAGGTATAGGACATTCGGTAGGGAACTCCTAGCTATGTATTGTGCTGTACGGCATTTTCGACACCATCGAAGGCCGAGAATTCACTCTTTTCGCTGATCATAAACCTCTTTAGGTTGATCTTCAGACATTTACTCACCACGTGATTCTCGACAACTGGACTACATTTAGCAGTTTACTTCAGATATTCAACACATTTATGGAGCAGATGCCTTGTCTCGCATAACTTATTTAGACAGTTCCCAAGGAATCGACCTTCTTAGACGAGTTATCATGAACAACCCTAAAACTGCGCATTAAACATATGGTAACCGGTAAGGAAACTTACTATGCGACAAGTCTACAGTCAGGGATCGCCCAATCATGCTGAAATATTACCGACTCAACGTCTTCAATACGTTGCACAAACTTTCTCATCCAGGTGTTCGTGCAACCATCAAGCTTATAGCAGAACGGTTTCGCTGGCCTGGTATGAATAAAGAGTGGGCATGCTCCTGTGTAAGCTGCCAAAAATCTAAGGTTATCAGACACAATAAATGTCCCTTAGGCTCTTCCAAAACTCCGGACGCTCGTTTCGACTATGTTCATCTGAATTTGGTAGGACCTTTATCAGATCCAAATGGATAGTCTTATCTCCAAGTTTACGTAGAACACTTCATTCGATGGACATCACTGCCGAAACAGTGGCCCGCGCCTTTGTCGAACGATGGGTAACAAACTTCGGCTGCCCTTCAACCATCACTACAGACCGCGGACGTCAGTTTGAATCTGAAATTTTCCGTTGTCTGGCCACACTTTTAGGATTTACTCGTTTCCAAACGACGGCCTACCTCCCACAAGTAAACGGGTTGGTAGAACATTTTCACCGACAAGTAAAAGCTTCGCTATCAGCTGCAAACGTTTCACAGTGGACCGACGCGCTTCAACTCGTCTTACTAGGTATTCGCAATGCAGTCAAGGCTGAAATTAGATACACTGCAGCTCAACTCGTTTATGGAACGACACTTCAACTTCCAGGGGAATTCGTGGATCTAACCTCCTACACAAACAGGCTCACAAACGCATTGCGTTCAGTTAAACCTGTTTCCACCCGACCGCAGTCAACTGATGTTTTCGTTCAACCTGACTTACTATATAGTGCACACGTCTTCGTGCGTCGAAACTCACATCGACGACCTCTCGATCAGCGTACGTAGGACCCTTCAAAGAACTTCAACGCAAACCTACGTACTGTATAGTTGATAAGAACGGAACTTACGATAACATCAGCGTTTTAGGAGGAAACCCTATCCACGTCGATTTTCCTTCGGTACAATCGAAAGACACGACTCCTGCACTCATGATACCTCATCCAATATCCAACACCCGCGATGAATCTTTGGCAGTATCTGAAAATAGACTCAAAACAACACGTTCTAGAAGAAGAGTAAGACTTCCGGAACATTTAAACGACTATTGCACGTAAGATACTAGTTAACATTTTGCCTGGTTTCGATTTTTCTTTCTATTATATATAATATAAAACACCAATTTTAATATACTGAGATTTATATATTTATTCCAAAAATCAAAGCTATATATTTTGCTTATACGTTCGCTATTAAATGTATATTAGAACTTTCAAAAAATGAAAATAACCATTTTGTAAAAATCATTTTTTACTCTGTCGCATGTGTATGATTTTTTCCTTTTTTCGCCCGCTTTTTGTCTTTATGCCCATAGGAGTGTAATTCGATATACACTTTTCCAGGAAGGCTGGAAAAGAAAGAAGAACGATGAAGTTTACGATGAACCGAAATTTTCATTGTACCTTGTTTCTTTATTACTATAGTGCACTACATGGTCCCTACTAGTAAGGAAAGACAACCAGAGGCTGCTAAACATAACAAGTTATCAGAAGAAAGTTTACCAACGACAAACTCGTTGTGTTCAAACCCTACTACGGGGGTAGTGGTCAGTAGCTGTAAATAAATCCCCAAAATAAACAGCTCTGTGAGTTTTCGATACTGGATACTGACCACATTAATTTTAATGGACTCACCTAGCTGAAGGCGCTTAGCCATTCATCCACGCCAGAGCACGAGTGGGAACGCCGTGCTCAACATCCCCTACAATCGCTTGCCGGTCTACATCAGTCGATCCTCGATATATTGATAGCTTATCAAGTATATCTTCGAACCTCATAGCTTCTGTCTTTTGATTTAACATGGTGGGTACGATTCATATTAGGTGTTACTGGTTAAAGCGTTATCAAACTCCAAATACCTGTGGCATCTTCACATTCTTACTAACACATTTCTGTAGCAGCGTTACGTTTGTTGTATATGGTCATCAAATTAGCCTTAGTACTCGGACATGAGAAAACGGCAATCCACCTTGGATTATAACCGCTAGGCATGATTTTGATGTAGGCTGAGAGCTCATTTCACTTTTGCCTAACTCGAGTAGCCTCATGATCATCCATATAGATCGTCTACATTTGTGAACTACATTTCCTTTTCATTTTGGTGTCTTAAATGTTACTGTAGTAGTAAATAAATCCCTAAAATAATTAGTTCTGAAAGTCCTCAAGACTGATGCAAAGCTCATTAGTTTTACCTAGCTGAAAGCGCTCGATCATGCATCTGCACTAGTGGATGCGCCGTGCTACGCATACCTTGCGATAATAATAGAATAATAGAATATTAATAATAATAAATCGGGTCTGTGTAATTGAGAGAAATATTGAATTGAGTTTAAAGAAGGAAATGGAGAAAATAAGGGGATAGAAATGAAGGAGACGTGAAATATGTAAATAGTGTTTATGAACACAAAACAAGAATAAACGACCATGTATATATCATCAAATTAGTGACAAAAAATAATTAAGAAAAAATAACTTATTATCGCATTAAGATATGACGCTGGAATAAATGTTTTTGCAGTCATAGTTCGGAGATGCTATGAAAGTCTCAAATAAGTGAAAAGGATAACGAAATATCAATATGTATGAGTCATATATGCATAGTGAAGATAAAACGAGTCTGAGAAGTTAATTTAAATGCAACACAAGTTGTTGTCTTAATTACAAACTTCGTATTGTTAAGAATAATATTTATCTAGAAGGGAAAAAGAGAGAGGAAAGAAGTGAACACCCAGTGAAAAGGTTCGTCCATGATAAGAATAATAATTGTGTAATGAATATCGACCTCAGAAGTAAACCAGCAATTTAGAAAAATAAAATAAAAACCCTTTAGTGCACTCGGATGAATACATTTAGATTTATTTAATAGTATACAGAGTGAAACTGGATATTAGTATAAATATTTGTGCAATAATAATTAAGAATGATGCTATGAAAGTCACAATTGATTTCAAAGGACAATCTGGAGTTAAATATGTTTGGAAGGATAAGAAGAGATAAAAGGAATATCTAATGTGTCGGGGAACTAATAATGATATTAATAACGGTAATAATGATAAACACGAACATAAGCAGACTTCATATATTAAGATGAATAGAAATAAAATAAAATAAACGTGAAAAGTTTCAAAGGTTTCACTTTGCATTTCAGGCAATTAAATGTATGACGGACCTTTTAGTAACATACGTAGATTACGTTCTGTTGAGGTTATGAAGAGGCGGTGACCTCAGAATGATTTACCAATTTTTTGGTATCCGCATGTCAAATCACCACTGTCTGTCCATTCTTTCAGTATTAATGGGTCTCTAAGAAGCCAATGTGAACCGAAATCGTATCTGACGGCTGCCCACAGTTTGATATTGACTGTAAGGATAGGGATTGAGTACACCAGATTTATTGGGAGACCAATGATGAATATAAGGGACAACAGACATTTCATTAGCAGTCCTTTACTCTTAGCGTTTGATCAAGTTGGTAGGATCCGCTTGCTCAAAGTTCAAAACACTTTCTATTACAAATGTTTGAAGTGCATTTGATAGTTCCTTTAAGCAATGACTGTAGCTGAAAGAACACGTCGAAAATCACCCGAAACATATTCTTATACAGTATTGTGATTTGTTTGTTCTTTGTTCCTGACTTGCATCCTAACCTGTGTTCAGGTCTCCTATAACCACGCTTTAGGTTTATTCACTCTTCCTTATCGAAATTTTTTTCATTTGATCTTGGTTGAACATGTATCTTTCGTTACTTGATTTTATTGTTGCATGCATACGTTCGTACATCTAAGCGTAATGTCTATTCAGTAACATCGGACTTTTGCTTTAGAAATGCATGTCGTAACAGTAGTCAGC